AATGTAGAAAAGATATTCCGCACACAATTTCCTTTAAGTACAACTATGATGACGAACTATGGAATTCTTTTAATCTAAAAAAATCATCACGAACTTCACATAATATACGAGAAGTGCTACTTAAACCTGCGTTTAAAGAACAGCCAAAAATTCAAATGTCCAAAAAGAAAGATTTGATATACTTATGCAAATCGGGTATGATACCAGAAGCCCACCATAGTTTTTATAAAAATATTTTGGCCCAAGATGATATACGAGAAGAGGACAACAACTAACAGAAAATGTGTCTACACTTTTACAATTTTCTCCGTGCAAAAGTGTTAGCAAAAGCGTAACTTTGAAATTCTTAATTTTTTTAGCATTAATATTATTTTATTTCAATTTCTGGTTAATGTAATATAGGCTGAAAAGCATGCAGAATCATAATTAAATGTTAATTTTTCTTAAAACTTGTGTCTTATTTCACCGATATTAGCACGAAAATAAACAAAATCGTCTTTATCTCGAAACTTACTTATTCTGACTTACTGCAGTCTTGCACTGAGGGTGCGATATCGACGTTTTGCGCATTACACAAAATGGCGCCCAAAGTTTGAGATTTCATCACACTTAAGTCACGTCCTGCTAATATCATAAACAGACAATTGAAGGTTACAATATACCTATCAACTCTTGTTTACTTTGGTCGATAAAACATTGACACATAATACAAATAAACTGATCGTTGCAATATAGCGTCGTTTCCCCAGTGCGATAGAGAAAACTGACTGCAAAGCAGTCCCTACATATCTTTCTAATTTGCCTGGTTTCTCGACTGGGACTGCCTTGCGTCAGTTTTCTGTCGCACTGGGGAAACGAGCTGGTATTGCACCCATCAGTCTATTTTGTATTATATATCTATGCGATTAGCACTTCTCGACGTTAAAACGTAGGGTAGACACTCTAACTCCACCTATTGAAATGCCACTTTCCTATTAAAATAAAACCTATATACATATACACCTATATACATTAAATAGTGAAAACAGTATATTGTTTTGAGGTTAGGCCGTGAGGAATATTATAAGTTTTCTTATCGCACGGTTAATTCATTAAGTGAGATGCTTCCGGATACCCATGTTAATGAGATATTGTTGTTGTCTATTAGACTCTTTAGCTTATGGATGCACTAATTACAATTTGTTTGTCTGATAAAAAAGTTTTATTACTCTAAAGTTTGACTAAATCAGATCCTATTATATCACAAATTTTGTCCTTTTCTTTATATCAGTGGTCGCCAACCTCTTCAATGTGTTGAGCTAATTTGTTAATTTTTGAATAAACAGCGAGCTACCCACACGGAAGCTACGTAACGCAACGTAAATGAAATAATCCATAGTTAATCTATCATTATATGTATTTATTTTACTGTTTAACTGGCCACCTCCCCTTTCCATCGATACCTCACACGTTGTTGTACGTTGAGTCGTTTGGCACGATTTCTACCTATCAAACGAAGGTATTTGAAAAATAAACACAAACTTTTATGCAGCCACAACGGCATGTCACGTATGATTTAAAAATAGTTAATAATAACAACAACAAAGTAACACACTATCATAAACATAAACATTGAAAAATAAAAAAGCAGGTTCAATGAGAAGGTTGGCACTCAGACTCGTCGATAATTTTTTTAATGTTTGCAGTATAATTTGATGCAGCCATTCGAATACAATTATCCAAATGTTCATTTGTAAGTCGATTGCGATATTTGTTCTTAATAAACTTCATATTGGAAAAAGAAGATTCACACAAATAAGTTGAACTGAATAATGCTTCCACTTTCAAGGCAACACGGCATAGAACTGAATATTTGTCTTTACTTACAATAGGCCAGATACATTCAGTACTTGAGACTAACGATTTTAAGGCTAAATCATTTTGAAACGTAATGACTTCCATTTCTGTTGCAGCGATGTCTTCGCCGAAGTTCTACATAACACAAGCTGCAAACTGCTGGATATCAATTTCCATAAAGGGTAAAACAACAAACTGCGCTACTAAAGCCATTTCATTGAAATCCTTAAACGATTTTTGAAGTTACTCTTCAGGGTAGAAATTATTTCTACATGATATTTGTTGTCATAGGGTTCTAATGGATTTTGAGATATTTTTTCTGAAAGAATAGGAAAATGCTTGGAATCGCTGTTAATTAGGTTTTGTTCTCAAAACTCCAGCTTTTTGATAAATGCTTTTATATCAGAAATCATTTCCGGTAGTTCTTTGTCTCTCCCCTGAAGCTGCAAATTAAGTTCGTTTAATTTCTCTGTAATGTCCACGAGAAAACCAAAATCTCTAAGCCAGATTGAATTTTCTAGTCCGGAGTCGGTTCATCGCGTTGTTTGAAAAATTGAACTATGCCAGATAGGACATCATTAAAACGTTTCAGGACCCGTCCTCTACTTAACCATCGGACTTCAGAGTGAAAGAGTAGGTCCCCGTATTGGCAGTCATCGGTCAAGGTTCTGAATAATCTTCTTTGTAACGCTTGAGCTCTAATCTTGTTCACAATTTTTACCAGCAGTTTCATAATGTTGTTGTTTCATAATGGTTGCTGATGGATAATGCAGTGGTAACAGAGAAATTGAGGAAAAGTTTCATCTTTACGACATAACGCCACCAGACCCTTATCACAACCCACCATAGCTGGAGCGCCATCGGTTGTCAAGCCTACCATTTTCGATATTGGAATTTTCTCGGAAGAAATAATATTTTTTAAATGAGAAAACAACTCCTGTCCAGTAGTAATGTGTCCTTTTTCAGCAGCATCTAAAAACGCCTTTTTATCATTTCTTCGTCTTCATAAGGATTCTTGTTTTGTGCAATTATCTGGGACACACGGTACGATGCTTCAGTAGCAGCCTTATTTTTGTCGACTGTTCTTAAAAATATTGATTGTTATCCAATTAACTGTTTTGAGTTTCTCCTTTCTGGCGGCAGAATGTAGTGGGAATGATTTTTCAAAATTAGAATGTACAGTTTTATGATGTCTCTCAATATTACCTTTTTTAGCAACGGAGACCGAAGTATTACATAACAAACACACATTTTTATCTTTAACTTCTGTAAAAAAATTGTTCTTCCCATTCCGAATGAAAGTGGTATGTCTTTACCTTCTTACAACTGCTTGCCATATTATTTTTGTTGTTCTCTACTAACCCAACCGCTGGACGTTGGTTACGCGTTCAGTTTTAAACTAAGCGCAATGTGGCCGCGCCGTGCGCATTTATCCCGTTCAAAGCAATCCAGATCGTTCTCGAACACTAACGCGCTGGTCGGTTCTATAAATAGCCGATTTTTAGCTTGACGGCGTCAGGGGCAGATCGCTCTCCGCAACGTTGCCGCTGTTTATGTTTAATATTATGACAATTAGATTTTTTTGTGGAATTTTCGGAAGCTTCTCTGATTTTTGCAGTTTGTATTTTTTAAATTAAAATCGTTGTTAGAGCTACCAGAATTACCTCCGCGAGCTACCGGTAGCTCGCGATCGACAGGTTGGCGACCAGTTCTATATTTTTTTGCAACAGAGGTTCAGATCAAATAATATAGAATACCCTTGTTTACCAATTTCAATAAGCTTTTATGTGAACGTCACTTATGTGTTCACGAAACTAGTGGCAGCAGAAAAAACTGTACATGTATCGACTCACGATTCAACACTGTATTGCCGAAACCGACAAGAATTGCGCTCTTCTGTCTAACCGTGTTCATTTACCAAAATGTAGATTTGCGGTATTTCGCATCGGTTGCTTCAATGAAACTTTCGCTTTGTTGTTAGGAATCTTTTAAAAAGGACCCCAATATAGGTCGATATTGAAATCGTGTACTTGTCCGCCCGTCTGCTATTCTCTGATAACTTGAAGAAAAAGTCTTAAAGTTTGAAACTTGTACATAGCTCCTATTTAAGGAAAAACCCTATTGAATTTGGGTCAATAAATCTTTTTCTTCCCATGACTTTTCTGTTTCTTGAAAGAAAAGTTTTAGTCTCTTGAAACTTGATACATAAAATACTTTTGGTGTTAAAAAACCCTATATAATTTGAGGGCAATAGATTGTCTTTTTCTTTTATATTATTTTCTCCTTTTTTGAAGGAAAATACCTAGTCTTGAACCTTGGTACAAAGGTTCCTGTTGATGCAAGAAATAGCCCTATCGAATAGAATAAACTTTCTCATATTTCCATACCTCTTCCTTTTCGGAAAACTGTTGAGTCTTGAAATTTGGATGTACAGAAGAACGCTATTAAATTTGGGGTCAATAGATAGTCTTTTTCGGTTTATATTCTTATGGCTTTTCTCTTTCTTGAAGAAATATTCCTATAGTCTTCAAAATTGGTACATATATACTTGGTGTAAAAAGAACCCTATTGAATTAAAGAGTCAATAGGTCGTCTTCAGCTTGTTATATTTTTATTCTTTTTCCTGAAGAAAAAGAACTTATGTCTTGAAACTTGGTACATACGTTCCTATTACTCTAAGAAAGAATTGTATTGGATTTGGGGTCAATACATCGTCTTCTTCGTCCCATGCTCTTATGCTTCTTTTTATTGATAAAAAAATTCAAGAGTCTAGGTGTAAGGAATTCAAACTGTAAGGAAGATCCCGATTGAATTTGAGGCAATTGATTTTTCTCTTTTTCTCATATTCTTGTAAGTCTTTTCTTTTGCTTGAAAAAAAGTCTTAAGAGTCTTGAAAATTGTATTGGCTAACATGTACTCGTACCCCCTCCATATTATCAAAGTGTGATGTCTACCGTCGAGCCCTACTCTGTTGTAGTTTACATCGTATTATATAAAAGTTCGATTTTCTATCAAAAATGTCGTTTTTTATGAAATAGTATAAAACCCCTATACATAAAACTAAAACTGATATAATTAACTGGAAATATTCTTCCATATAGAAAAGCAAAGGATTGAACAGGAAAGGACATTTGTGAACTAGGAAATGACATATTTGAAATCAATCTTATTAAAAATATTTTATTCAACAAAAATAAACTATATGGTAACAAATAACACAAATGGGTTTTTCAGTTAAGTTAAAAAACAAAGTTGCTCCTATTTTAGGGCGATTTTAACAACAGGTTTTTGCATAGAAAATTTCTGATAAAAATTAATGACCGGTTTCCCAAAACTTAACTAATTCGATACTTTATTAACAGATCATTATATTTGAGGGTCATTTTTAACGTACTATATATACTGTCAAAAATATCTTTTTATGGGATTTTATTCCCATTTTATATATCCATTCCATTGGGGTTATTTATTGTTCAGTTTTGCTACTATTGTAGATAAATAAGTACAGGAAAGTCCACAAAGCATCTGACAATTATAAATCAACATTTTAAAAATATTTACGTAGCTTAGAGTTGCTCAATTCAACGGAGTTCTATGAAACCAGACAGTAACGAATTTAAAAAAGTTAATTTTCAAATGAGATTACATTAAAATTTGTATAAAAATAACTGTACCGAACACATTTTTAAAGAATAAAAACTATCGGTACAATATAAAAAATTTAACTTTGCCTATATCAAACTAGTAGTCTTTTTTAACATGGCACAAAATATTTTTTTTGATATAAAATGCAAAAACCGCAAAGGATCATTTTGGAGTAGGAAAATAATATAAAGTTTAATATTATTAAACCATTATTTTTTTAGTTACCGTTGATTTATTCTTTTGCCAATGTTATGCACGTCCTGCTTGGAATATAGACCTAAAACATAAAAGCAAATGATCAATTTTGAGTCGTGTGCAAGTTTATACATGCTTCTTGTACACCGCACTTGTAATAAGTTAATAAGGCTTAGTTTAAAGTGCAAGATCTGAACATACGAAAGATTTATCTCGGTACACAGCAAATTATATATATATACGGATATCTTGGGTTTAGTAGTCAATTAGTATATTGGCCTTTAAGTAAAACTCTTTTAGGTTTGTTAAGCTTTCGAGTTTATTGTACTCTTTTTCAAAACGTACTAAAAATTTCAAAAACATAAAAAACTACATTAGAAAAATGAAGTTGTTATATCTTCAATAGGCTTACCCTTGTGAGGAAATAACTTTATACCCTTTAAAATTAGCAAAATTAATTAACATAATGACATTATTAAATTTGATTTTTTTTTCGTTCTGTCAAAATATATTATATATATTACTCACATATATTATATATATATATATATATATATATATATATATATATATATATATATATATAAGAAAAATGTTAATGCGAGGTGATAGATAAAATAAAGGTAAAAGATATCGGCATAGCTCGCAACAAAGAAAAAAAAAATAAAAAAAGGAAAAAAAAAAGTCAGAAATACGTATATAGAGTTGCCTTCCATCTTATATACATATTTTATTATATTTTTTTCCTTTGTTGCGAGCTATGCCGATATCTTTTACCTTTATATATATATATATATATATATATATATATATATATATATATATATATATATTTATATATATATTATATATATATATATATGTATATATTTATATATATATATATATATATATATATATATATATATATATTGTGACGTCCTCTCGTAGGAGTCACTATCCGGGTAGCTTTTGGACAGTCAGAGACAGAGTTCAAAATAAAAACAAAACTTTATTGTCTTCCTTAAATTAAATTGACAAAAATCTTATGTACATATTTACAATTTAGTTTAGTCTTCTCAGTACCTGGCCTATTTATTCAAATTAAGTTTGACCTTGTCGTATGAAGTCTTATCGGCAATCGAGTGTGTTTTCGGAATTTTACGTGAACGATGTGTCGATTTAACAACAGCGGACGATAGGTACAAAGAAAAGAAAGGAACTCAACACGTCCCTTAAGTGATTCGGGTTAATAGGACACTCCTCGACAGTCTCAACACGACTGCTTCGGAGTACGGGTAATGGAGAGCTCAACACGCTCTCCGGATAACGGCGGTATGGAACAACTTGTGAACTCAACACGTCCACAAGCCGGGGTAGGGAAGAAGAGAACCTTCAGTCAACACCTGACGATTCTGCCTCTATGAGGAAATAATGCGGTTTATATAGCAAAGTTTTGCCCTTTCTACTGTCGATACACTCCTACTTCATGGGTTGGTTCGCGCGCACGCTGGTTTAACGGTGATGGCTTGGACTCATCGTTACACCCCCTCTTCCTGGGAAAAAAAAATTTTGGAACAAAATTTTTTTATTTTTATTCCTTGCCAGGTACTTGGTTACCCTAAAAAACAATTTACAATACATCGAAATAAAAAATGTCCGCCCTAAAAAAATAAATATCGTCTTCTTAAAAAAAAAATCGTCTTCCCCTCTCTTAAAAAACGTCTTCCTTCGTGGGGCTTCAATTATTGGTTTTTATCCTCAGCACCTGGTTCGGAAGTCTCAGTCTGTATTTTTTTCCTTTATGCTGCGGCGGAATTAGTGAGAGCAGCGGGATTGACACTGGAATTGACTGGACTTTCTGAATTTTTGTGATGCCCATGGCTGGTTCATCGAAAAGGTTTTTAAATTTGGAAATAGCCTTTATCAGGGGCTCGCAGCCTTTGCCCGGGGTTTTAGGTTTTGGTGTGTTTCCCAATGGTGATATTAACTCTGGAACGGTGTATGGTGGCGGCGTAACTGTGCCGTCCATTTCTATGTCACTGTAATATATTTCTAACGTGTCTGACATTATATTTGAAGGTCACTGGTAAACTGTATTAAAATATACTGTCACTTGTGTTGACTGTAAGTGCTTGGACTGATTAAGGAGTAGGGAAATCGGTAAATGCGGGTTTTAGGTCTTTGATATGAGCTGTTATTGTACGGTTTTTATCGTCGTGTTTTAATTTGAATATTACATTAAAACACACTTTTGTTATAGTATATGGGCCTGAAAATTTCGGTGCTAATTTGGCGTTAAAATTTTTGGCGGCATTTGAGAGTTGGTATTCCCTTTTCATGACTTTGTCGTTTATTGTGGGTTTCCACTCTCTTCGTCTTAAGTTGTAGTAATGGCTTTGAGTTGTGAAAGCTTTTGCCAGGTTTGTACGTACTAGTTCGAATGTTTCTCGTAGTTTATGCCATTTTATGTTTTGATCGGTATGTTGTGTGTCGTTTGGGGTTTTTACGACTTTACTTGGAATTTCTAGTTCGTGTCCAAAGTTCAGGAAGGCTGGGGAGAAACCCGTTGAATCGTGTTTAGCTGTATTATATGCGAATAGTAGTTCTGGAAGGCTCGTGTCCCATTTCTTATGGTTATTATCGCAGAACTGAGCTATCATTGTTTTGATTACTCTGTTTGTTCTTTCTACTGGATTATTCTGGGGTGAATATGGCGGAATGTTTCTTTTAGAAATCTGGAATTCGTCTAGCAACTTTCGTACTTCCCTGTTATCGTATGTTCTTGCGTTGTCTGATATTAGCTCTTTGGGTGATCCGAATCTCATAATGATTTTATCTTTTAAGTTCTGACAGACTGATTTTGCCGTTGCTGTTCTGATCGGTATGGCTTCGACCCATTTTGAAAAGGTGTCCTGGAATGTCATTATATATTTGTTTCCTTTGCTGGATGTTGGAAGGGGTCCTATGATGTCGGTTGAAACGGTATGCCATGGATGTGGGAGAATTTGTGTAGATTGCATGCGGCCTGGAGTTAAGCTTTGTTGCGGCTTAAATTGTTGACAGTTCTTGCAGTTCCTGACGAACTTTGCGGCGTCTTTAAACATCCCTGGCCAGTAGTATTTTCTAGCTAGGCGGGTTATTGTTTTAGCTATTCCTAGATGTCCTGCGGTCGGTTGCTCGTGGTTTTCTGCCAGGAGTTGTTGTCTCTTGTGGTTTGGGATGCATAGTTTCCAGGGGTTGGATACCTCTGTCTCTTTTAAATCGTATTTGTCCCAGAAGTGTCGATAGAGAAGTCCATCTTTGATAGAGTAGTCTGGAAATAGTTGCGGATTTGTCTGGATTTTATTTAAAGCTTTATTGTACCATTCGTCGGGTTCTACATCTTCTACGTTTATTATGCAAACCAGATCTACTGGTTCTCTAGAGAGCGCGTCGGCCAGGACGTTCTGGGAGCCCTTTCTGTAAATGACATCGAAGTCAAATTGTTGCAGCAGCATTGCCCATCTAGCTATTCTACCTGTAGGGTTTTCCATTGTTTGTAAGTATCGTAGACTTTGATGATCTGTGATAATTGAAAATGGGTATCCTTCGATGTAGGGTTTCATCTTTTCTACACCGAAGATGATCGCTAGTAGTTCTTTTTCTGTCACGCTGTAATTTTTTTCGGCTTTTGTTAGGTTTCGACTTGCGTAAGCGATGACTTGTTCCTGTCCTTCGTCGTTTGTTTGTACTAAAGCTACTCCTAAACCGTGGTTCGAAGCGTCCGATTGTAAAAAAAATCTTTTCTGGAAGTCCGGGCAGATCAGTATTGGAGCTTGTGTCAGTAGTAATTTTATTTTGTTGAATGCTTCCTCTTGGTCTCTGTCCCAAGTCCAATGTTGTTTTTTCTTTAGTAGCTTTGTTAAAGGAGCTGTAGTTCGTGAAAAATCTTTTATAAATCTCCTATACCATGAGATGATGACCAAAAATCGGCGTAGTTGTTTAACGGTTTTTGGCGCGGGATATTCGACTATAGCTTTTGTCTTGTTTTCGTCCACTTTTATTCCCGTTTTGTTTACTACATGGCCTAAATAATTTATCTCTTCTTTGCAGAATTTACATTTGTCTATATTAATTCGTAGTTTGGCCTGCTGTAGTCTGTGAAGTACTTCTTTTAAGTTTTCCATATGTTCCTCGAACGTTTTCCCCAGTACTATTATGTCGTCTAAATAGGCGAATGCATGTGGTTCCATTTCTGGGCCGATTATTGTATCTAGTAATCGTTGAAAAGTAGCGGAGCCTCTATGAGGAAATAATGCGGTTTATATAGCAAAGTTTTGCCCTTTCTACTGTCGATACACTCCTACTTCATGGGTTGGTTCGCGCGCACGCTGGTTTAACGGTGATGGCTTGGACTCATCGTTACAATATATATATATATATATATATATATATATATATATATATATATATATATATATATATAAAAGTTGTAGGCTCTTTAAGGTACTTTAAAAAGATATTTTAAAATTAGTCAAAAATATACAGGGTCTTGCACAGCACGATGGAAATATTAAAGTATTGAATTTGGATTCTTTATATATTTTCCATCATGTTAGTTCCTAACAAAGTTTTTGAAAGCATAAGCATTTTTGATTGCACAGAGGTGTGAAAAAATAAAACCGACTGTAATGGCTACAACCACAGATCGCTCGAGTACACACTTCGCGTGGGCACACACTTCACGCCACCACACACTACGTGGAGTAGTAAACGTATTTATTAATAAAATAAAATAAAAGTTAAAATAAAATAGAATCTAATCGAATATCGAGTCGAAGATTGCATCGATCGAATCGAATATCGAATTGAATCGAATATCGAGTCGAAATAAAATAAATTAAAAATCATCGCTCTCTGCTTAGACGATAAAAATGCTATGCTTCCCTCCCTGGTCACTCCCGGAGTGCTACATCCCGTTTTTCTAGACAATACAGGCCGCTTCCAAAGTTATAATCACTTTTACCCGAAAATCTTAATAAATTCGAAGCCTTGTAATTAAAAACAAAACGCTAAGAATTAATTGCTTATTGGCAAAGAATTTTTATATAATCTAGCTGA